ACTTGAATGAAAAATTTCAAGAGGTAGCAGATGTGTCTGCATACCAGTCCCTACCTCATTTGAACTTAATCTGGGAATCACACAGTACAGGAACATTAAGAGTACGTTATATATGTGATAACCTATTTCCAGCATTTGTTATTCACATTAACAACTGGCCTGAAAAAGTTGTCAAAGCTCTCCATTGAATGAAGCATGGCTCTATAAATAGAGGGCATCAAATAAATTTAAATTAACCATGAGTTCTTGATTATCCTAGCAATTAGTAATACCTTGCTAGCTACAGTATATCCCAAAAGTCTGTTTAAATAAGTGAATGCAACTGAACTTAGCCATAAATAAGGTTTTATTTCTGCACAGCCTAACCCCACACTACTACAGAACGTGCACTGCAGCAAATCAGGTCCAGAACACCCTATGTACCTGACAGCACTGGCTTTGTAAAAGCGGGGCCAGGGCAAAATGAATGATTTGCGGTCCCCTTAAATATATGCTGTTACTTAAAGCAGATTGGTAAGAGTGGAACAATACCATCTTCCCCTCAGACTGAACACCATGGTCTCTTTAAATTTTAAGGCTAATATGTTGATTTTTTTCTTTTTTTTTTCCCCCATTTTGAAGTAGAAAGGGAATCAAAGCCATCTTGGACCAAATTAATTTCACACTCACTAGCTTATCCTGGTTTTCTCACTTTTGATTGGTTATATTTCTATATCTTTATGGAAAGTAATTTCAGTGTGGAATAAAAGTTTCAGCAACACAATCCAGAATAATTTTTCCTACCTCTTTTTACAATAGGCTTTTAATTTCCCCGAAGTCCAGCCAAGAATAGAGTGCATTTTATGGCAGAGCCTGTGCATCCTGGTTCTGACATGAACAGTAGTAGCAATAAGGAGAAATGTTGGACAACATGGGGCTGGAGCAGACTAAAGATGGGTCTTTATGCAAATAACTCTGTGCTGTGTGAAAGCTTCAGTATAGTTTCTTTAATCATGTTCCATTTGCTTGGGCTGTTTAGCTGATACTTTCAGTATTCAGCTTGCCATTTGTATCACCTAAGATTTCATCTGACACACCGTTTTTACATTTCTGGCTTGCCTCAGCATGTGTCCAGAGTAAAAGCTGCTTTAAATATCCACTAATGGATTTGTCTTTCTTGTCTGGTTTTCTGTACTGTACTTAAGTAAGCTATCAAAGACAAGAGAAGAAGTCTTTTACAGAATGAAGGATAGCTCCTGTCTTCAACTGTTTGCCCTGAAGAGTATTTGAGGTGTGAAGCTTGGCTGTTAGTGACATTTCCCTGTATACTCCTGGTGTGGCTTTTTAGACTTAAAGAGTACTTGAGATACCTTCCTCTGGCAGAAAGTGTTCTTGTTTGCTTTTATCTAGACCTGTGTTCTTCAGAACTTGTTTTCACTGAGAGGACAACCTTTTGTCTTTTTCAGTAAATAAACATGTAATATCATCATAGTTACTGTGGACTGTATTTCTTACACTAAGCAAACCTGCTTAGGTTATGGTGATGGTGAATATGCCATAGATTTGTGGAGGCTCAGCCCTGTGACTGTTGGTTACTCTCTGTGGTGGCTGAAATCCTGGTCTCATTGATGCGTGGCAGTTTTCCCGTTGACTTGAATGAATTCAGGACATAACCAGTTGTATTTGTGTTTACATGTATACACCTATATATTTATCACATAGGTATATATAAAAGCATTTTATGGTCAGTCTTAGAGACCTGATTGGCCTCATAAACAAAGAATCCTTATGTCTAATGCACCAGACTTCTAGCAGACTTGTGCCACTAGGGAGCTGTTAAACCAAGGCATGTGATGTCTTCTTGAAGTACCTAGGGAGGACATTAGAGATCTACAGCAGGAACTTTAAACCCATCTTCTTGGAATGGATGTAGGGTGCTTGCAGCAGCATTCTGCTTCATGGAGCTCTCTTATGGAGAGAGAATGAGATGCTCAGAATAGGGCAGCATAAATGTTAAGTGGGGTGGAGGCTAATTTTAGGATTTGAGTATTTCTAATATCTCTTTCTTGTATGAGTTCTGATAGATGATATTCCTCAGACTGAGGCATTATCTGCTCTCCCAGTGACTCATCTGATATAATTTCTTTCCCAGTGCAAAGTTTCCCATGGGAAGGCCTCTTACAGGGTGTATCTCTATCTAATTTAATGGAGCGGTAAAAAAAAAGGTGTTTCTGAGACCTCCACCACTTGTGGAGGTAACCAGGGGTTTGAAGGCAGTTGGCCATACTCTGAGCCTAGCGTTGACCTCGAACACGACTCTGTAAGCCTCCTTCCCTCAGGCTAAGCATGTGTTTTAATCCTGATGCTGGCAGTTGTGCAAAAATGCATGTCGTATAGGGGATTTTTAGTTCCCATGTTGGTTAGGTGCCCTCCACTGCCCGTGCACCAGTGTTGTGTTGAATAGGAAGACTAGTCTGCAGATGTGCTAGGCAAACTAAGACCTTTTTAGTGCCAGTAAAAACGTCTGCAGTCTTCACGCTGCCAAACAGTCCCTACATGCCCCATTATACATTTGTGAATTTGTCTGGGAAAGAGCTGATCAATGATTTAATTTTTCCTCAGGTTACTCTTCACACTGTGGCACTGGGGGTGTTTGCTTATCCAGAGGCCTCAGCTGTGATGGTGGCATATTTTCCCCATGTGTCCAGCAGTTGGGCCTAGGGGAGCTGCTCTGCCTGGGGAGAGGGGTAGCATCAGCCAGGCTGTGCCCATGGTGTTGGCTCTGCCATGCCAGCTCCTGTGCCCCCTGGGCAGGTTTGCTCAGGGCAGGCAGGGTGCTTCAGGTTTGTTTCACTGTGCCTACTGCAAAAATAGAGTTCTGGCCTAATTTCTTTAATGATCAAATTGCACTAACACTTTTAAGGATCTGGGTTTTGAGCGTTTTCCTTCAAAATAGGTTTTAAGATATGTCTTTTTTTCCCATGGACAAAATTCCATTTAAGGAAATGGCCTTTTTTCTTTTTGTTTTTTTTTCCTTCCAAAATGAAATGGAGAATTTTAACGAATTTTAACATTTTGAGGATTTCCACAGGGAACTGACAGAGAATTTTTCTTGTGCTGTTTCCTCTCCCAGTTGAAAAAACTTGAACAAAAAAAAAAGGGAGCATGCCCAACTTCCTGTAAACCTTAGATCTCAGAAAAGTAAAGCCTTAGAAAAAAGTTAAATCTCGGAAAAGTGGGAAGGAGAGGAGTAAATATAAAAACTTTTATCCCAGTCAACCAAACCAAATTCAAAACAAAATAAGGATATCTAAAATGAAGAGAAGAATTGTGTAAAAAAGTGCTTCTCCTAACGTTTTCTGTGGAAAACTCTCTTCCTTTTGTTCACTGGTGTTCAACTGACATTAAGAGAATCCTTTTCTAGTCCCTTTTGTAGGAATACATAGTTGGGGAGTTTGCTGAATTTTAGTTGGCTAAAAAAAAGATGGAAAGATGCGAGGAATCAGCAAGATCAGATTAATTTCATTTGTGTTATTTCTTTTTGCAGATATTTTCAAAACATAGTTATATGTACACAGCAGAACAGTGTATTCACTATATTAAAGCAAGTAGAATTCACTATAGTTTAATTTCTAAATAAGCACATATGTTCTTTGCTACATATGCAGTATGGTGAAGATTTCTCTGGGGACTCATAATTTTGAGAACTATGTTTGATGCCATCATAGGAGACTTTTAAAGGGCCTTATTAAAAAATATCTACACAAACACAAGATTTAACACTTTCTCTTGTTCCTGGAATATTTGCTTATCTGATATTTTTCTGGTTTAGTTTTCTAATATTGCATCTGATACTGTGGTGAGGACAAGCAAATTTACATCTGTTTCGGTAACTATTTATCTTACTTTTAAAGAAGATTTTTAGATGTAAAACATAGTTAACCTGGAAAAAATAAAAACGTAAACCACTACTTTCATAATTCTTAAAAAACCCCAGAAAATTCAGATGTTTTGCCTTTTTTAAAAACCCAATAAGCTAAACTGCAAGTTGATTAATAACTCTATTATATAGCAGTCTAAAGATGTCATTGGTGTATATATTTAAGTTATTCAGCTGCTGTATTAGGTACTTTAGCTTCAAAAAAGAAAGATTGTACTCAACAGGGCTTAGCAATATGGAATTATGTCTTCTTTTACAAGATCATTGATCTAAGAAAAGATTATGTGCTTATAAGTAAAACAATTACATATTGTAGGTGGCATCTCTACCACCCAAATTTAACATAGAATATTCTAGGACTGATGAAAATCATGTTCCAAACTTACTCCTGAAACTACAATTTGGGTATACAAAGTACTCAGTACTCAGAAGACAGTTAAATAACTCTTAAAAGATTGCTGTTGCTCTTAACCAGAAATGCCTCAAAGCCCTAGTGTGTATTACTTTCTGCTTTCAAGATCCTTGAGTTATCAGTCTTCTGTAATACCCTTTGTAGATTTAAGAGAAAGCATTACCCAGAGGGAGGGACAAAGAGAGCATGTGGAAATCCCTTTTTTAGCTGATACTTTTGTAGAAGCTGTTATATCAATCCCTTGGAAAAATATAGGAGGAAATTTTGGGTCTAGGTTTCTGGTGTTCAACTCAGGTTTTGGTATCATTATGATTTTAGAAAAGAACAGCTTCCATAGGTAAGTTTGTACAGACATTTAATAAAATGCATAGATATTAAAACAGAGTAGGAGACTACAGGTAAGTTATCTGCTTTTGGTGTATTATATTCTTTTAGTTTGTTCTGACTGACTGATGGTCTAGATGTACATAATCCTGCTCCAGAGGATGCGTTCAACTAACTGAACTTTTGAGACTTTCCCAGCTTTACATACCCATGACATCTGAGGATACTTTTGTACTCCTTTGATTTAAACATTTGACAAGCAGTAAAAAGGAAGAATGCTCAGAACTTCTCCATGTCCATGGCTGTTGTTTCTTGCCTAACTGAATTTCCCCTTGACGTTCACAGGTACACACTGGTGGATATTTTGCGCGCCATACTTCTTTCTTTAGAAGCCATGATAGAAGACCCTGAGCTTCAAGTGAATGGATTTGTTTTGATTATAGACTGGAGCAACTTCACCTTCAAGCAGGCCTCCAAGCTCACACCAAGCATGCTTAGATTAGCCATAGAGGGCCTTCAGGTAACATTCTTATCTTCTTTTCTTTCTTTTACTAATTCTTCTTCATTCTGCAACTTGTTACAAATCTAGGTGGCTAAACAAACAAAACAAAAATCCAAGAACTTCTGAAGAGCAAAGCTGCTAACACCTTAAGGTATGGGTGAACAGGCAAGCTACAGAGGCACAAACTAATATGTGTGCTCAGTCAGGTAACTGTAGTAACTCCTGGTGTGTAGGCTTCTTTTTTTTTGCCATAAATAAGAGGTAACTTCTCTGTCTTTATTCTGAAGTGGCTGGCTTCCTGTAAATTCTGACTGTAACTGCTGCAGCAAGTTAGAAGTAATCAGTTCATCTTGTCATTTTGCACAGGGCTAATGAAATATGTGTTGGTTTTTATGGTTGATTCCACTGGAGAGAGGTTCTACATCGTTTGTTCTGAAAAGTGTGGGGCACTGTGATTAGACAGTTAGCTGCGAGTATTTACTCAATTCAGCATGTGCTTGGCTCTTTTGCTGGGTCAGGATTAATTTGTGCAGCGGTTTCTGGGACTGAGTATACAGTGATTTAAATTTCTTTTTGCTCATTGTAAATGCACATGGCAAAGGCACATTGGTGGAAAGGATACTACATAACTCTTGGCTGCCTCCTATGATCTTTAATGCTTATTAAAATGAAAAACTAGAACCTGTAAAGTAGTTGTTTGCTGCGAAAGCTTGAGTTGCTATGTTAAAAATATCAGTAATTCACTCCTGTGGCAGTGTGCCTTGGTTCTACAAGGACATATATTCCTTTTCTGTGATGTCTGTATCATTTATACATTTTTATTACTCATAAAACAAAATAACAGCCTTATCTTTGAACTTTCTTCACTTTGATATTGCTATTTTTGAAGGAACTTGTATAGCAGTAGTATGGAGTTTTATCTAAATCTTGAAATGGCTTATCCAGTATTCAGCCTGATGTTGCACACAGAAGGCTGGTGACAGTCATGAGACAAAGATCTCAATTTTCATTTTGTTGTGTTCCTTATGCAATGGTGTGATTCCATGGTCTTGAGAACTGTATCAGAAGGCAGCAGTGAGATGTGTACTCTTAACAGTGCTGCATTTCCTTATATTGCTTACAAAGTTGTTTTATTTTTTTGCTGTTTTTCAAAGTTTGCCACTGTTTTCTTGTTTAGAACATGAATAAATACTGGAGTAGTCTTTTTAAATGGTGATGTTTCTTCTTAGACTTTAATCAGAGTTGATTATTTTGAGGAGAGCTGCAGTGGATAATTGCATCTGAAAATACGATGGATGACATACCAGACTTCAGGTGGGCTCTGAGACTGTTCTGCCAACAGATAGTTCATTACTGAGTTGAGGTGAAGTCAACTTATGCATGCCCCCAGCTTCGTATGTTCCAATATCCTGAGTCTGATGGTGGCCAACACAGAGGGCATAATTTTGTGCTCACTGTCTTCAGTCCTGTTGACTCCAGAGATGTAGAACTGGACATGAAATTCTTCAGAACAGGGAATGAGAAGGCAATGAAATGGCAAATGTGAGATAAAACTCTCACAGTGCTTGAGGAATCTGTCCTAATCTATGATAGATATTGTTACCTGTAAGCATGACCTTTTACAAGGCAGTAGCCTTGAATAAAGCAAGTAGTTGGGCTCTCACAATACAGTGTTTAATTTTCTGTGGAGGACCACTGAGGGAAATAAAGGGCTAAAATTCTTTTACTAGTAAAATTGATTGACTCTCTAATGATATTTTCCCAGTAGTTGTACTACTTGGGGAGTTGTTTATATTTAATTATTTTTTTTTTTTTTTAAATTTTTCTTAGACACTTTTCTGTGTAAAGATATATTAGAAGCAATGGAAAGGACTAATGACAACTATACTGAGCATCTTGGAGGGAGAACCTAACTTTAAAACCAGTTGGGATCAGGAAGGAAATAAGAGGAAAGCATGTTGCAAAGGTGGTACAGAGAGACCCTGGGCAAGGCACAGGTTTATTTGCACCTTGTGAGATTTCACTCCTGAAATGTTACATTCCTTTACCCTCAACAGGGATTGCCTTTTCTTTTATTTAGGACAAAAATGAGTAGCGGAAACATCATTATGAATGCTGCAAAGTAAAAAATGCTTAGTCAGGTGGTATGAAGAAGAACAACTCACACACAATGTTTATTTATGATCTTTGTAAATACTCTCTGTTTAATCAGAGAAATGGAATTTACTTTGGCTTATAAGATTTAACAGGGCTCAAGATGCTGAACTTTACCATTTGGGGAATTTAAATATTTGTGTTACTTGGTGGAAAGGGACAGGGAAAGTGGGATTAGTGACCACTGAATTTGATGTTAACCAAATCCCTTTGCCTCCTGAATTAAATCTACTAAATTTGCATTATATTTGCTCAGCTTCCATGGTGAGCAGAATATTCAGTATGGTACGTACCAAAGAGAGTTGATTACAAGCTATGGCATTTCTGGGTTCTTCACAGCTGCTTATTTTTTAGGAAACTGCTTTTGAAAGTAAGATAAGTAAATATATACAGTTTTCTACTAAAGAAAAGTTCTGCTATACACTTTGTTTGCATATATATTTTAAATGGGAGTATGAAAAGAATCATACCCCTAACTGACTTGTATACATTAGAAAAACCTCATAAGTAGTTGTTTTCAGGAAAAAAGCCTTTTGACCATGGAATTTTTAATGTTAAAGGACAGTGATTATCTATAAACTAATGTGAATTTCCAGCATATCCATCCCAACAGTGCTGAACCAACCAGTTGGTGCAGTGTAGGTCAGTGCTGATTTTTAGATCAAATGGTTTTGCTAGCCAAGAAGCAGAAACATCCTGTGGAGGTTGGGGCACTCATCTGGGACTCCTGATGCTCCAGTCTTAGTTTACACACTGGCCTTGTGCTTTTGGAGAAAAGGAGCAATACTCTTCCATGCAGATGTTGGTGGCTACAATATTTGTGGTACACCTTGTCTGTGAGAAGGATTTGCACTTCAAGCCCTGTAGACTTTCTGTAGTGAAGAACAGGAACATAAGCAAATACAACATGTAATACTCTATTTTCTGAGAAAGGTCTGTCTGGATTAGGTGCCTAGGAGAACCTCAGAGCCTGAGCAGAAGGAAAGCATTCTTTGAGAGGTAAGACCAAACCCCATGCTCTGACTTAAGCACCTTGTGTGGGCTCTCCCCAATGTATTCAGTGCATGGGTGTGAATACCAGTTTTTAGGTGCCCGCTTCTCCCCATTCATTGGTTTCTGTAGCCAAGCACTGATAGCACTGATTGTGGACTTTGTGAAAGAGCTCATGTTACTCAGCAGGGTGGGTTCCTGAAAGCAAGGGGTGTTACTGCACTGTGTGACTTGAATAAGTCCCTTTCAAAAACTACAAAATTTTGCCTCTTTTACCAGCAAGGAGTTACAATCTACTTGCTTCAGCTACTTTTCCCATAGAAAGTGGAACTCTTGAGAGCTCAGAAGCAAACCATTTCTAACTTTCCATAGACAGTGATGAACAATAAGCTCTTACCACACAAGAATGACACCTTTATGTTATGGTCTAGTAAACAGCTCTATGAAAATATCATCTCAATACATAATGTTGGTTGAAAAAGCAGATCAGATGTTGGGAATTGTAAGGAAAAGAATGGAGAGCAGGGATGGCGAAGCCACTGCAAAAATCTGTGCCATCACTTCCCTCTTGAATGTTGTGGACAGTTCTGATTTTCTGTCTCAGAAAGGCTCTGTAGGACTGGAGAAAGGCAAAAACCCCCAAAAGTTATGGGCTGGCTTCTGTACAAGGAACAACTAAGTTGGCTGAGATTCTTCTGGATGGAAAAACTGGAGGGAAACTACAGATACCTATAAAACAATAGGATCACAGGATAATTCCGCTTGGAAGAGACCTCAGGAGGCCAGCAAGTCCAACCTCCTGCTTAAAGCAGGGTCCATTATGAGGCCAGACCAGGATGCAGACAAGGTCATGGGTGGCTGGAGAGAGTTGACAAGCTGCAGATGTTCTTTGTTACCTTCATTTTAAGAAATTAGCATCATCAGATGATACTAGTAAGAGCTTGGCTCTTTATATGACACGGCGATTCTTTGTACAGTATCTGAGTAATCTGTGGAACTCCTTGCTGTGTGGGAATTTTGGGTGCTAAAAGTTTAGTTGTGTTCAGGGAAAATGGATAAGACTGTGGAAGATAAATGAACCAAGGATTACTAAATATGTAAAAACCACATCAAAGTTCAGAATTCCTTGGGCTGCACATATTTGGAGATGAGGTGAATGCTGAGTGAAAATATCACATATGCTGTCCACATTGTTACTGCTCTAGGCTCTCATTTTTGGCCTCTATTAAGGACAGGATATGGGGTTAGATGGACTTCTGGTGGGACATAATTAAGTCAAGTGTATATTCCACCCTGTCTTTCCCCCCTTTTTTTATAACCTTTATTTCATTTTACTGGTCCTGGTACTCCCATGGCCCCTTCTGCCCGAATACTGAGCTGGGAACACTTGGGCAGAAGGAGGAAGTAAGTTCTGGGTATGATTCTTTTCTTTCTGGTAGTCCTTTTATAGCTACCCATATGGGCTTTTTATTAAGTATCAAGAGCATTGTTTTCACAAAGCACGTAAAAACAGTGTCAAAGACCAAAAATCCAATCTGAAAATTGTATTGAAATTTGAGGTTTATTATTAACTCCAACAGACAGCTTTGGGGGTAATTATAAGTGAGCTTTGCAAAGTGGAAAATTTTGGGTATGCATAAGACACTTTCACCGATTAACTGATATTTAGGATTCTAAAACCTGGAACACTAAATCCTTTTAAATACTTGATTTCTGTTTAGCTTGTAATAGTAGCTGCATACATGACAGATTTGTTTTGCATGTTGTCACTCAGGCAGGCTGTACCTCCAAATGCTTAGTAAAACTGGGTAGTTAATGGTGGCTGAATATTAATGTTTTTCCTTTCAGTAAAAAGCTGGGGAAAAAGAGATGAC